TTCATGGTTTTTGTAATAGTTCATTTAGTATTACAAATTTCTTAAGCAGGTCGTTTTAAATGAAAAACTAATCATACAAACTATACTATTCGACAGTATGCAGGTTTTCTTGTCCTAATACATGTTACACTTGTCACGTTGGATTTTGTTAATTTTTTACAGGAACATTTATTTTCGTAAGATGTGTATCTTTCTTCGTCTATCTATGTATTTTCGTAATCTTGTTACAATTAATTAATTTTGCGACGAATTGTCCGTGCGTCGAATCATTCTGTGCAAGGAGTGAGATATCAGTCTGATGGTTTCAAAGAATTGTATGGAGACTTAATTGTTGATTGTAGTGGAAGATATACATCATCTTTAAAATGGTTAAAAGAACATTTTCAATTAATTGTTCCCACTGAACAATTACATGTGGAAACAGGTTATGTGTCATTTCTCGGTGAAAGATTGCGAACAGGAAATGTCGAATTAGATTCATTTCATGTTGGTGGTCGTGCGGCACATGCTCCGCATCATAATAAAGGTTTTCTGACGATGCCTATTCGAAAAATGCAAACTTCAGATGAAAATTCTCTTGGATTAATCTCGAATTTTGCTGTGTATTGTGTGAATGGAGAATATCCACCGAATGATAATTTTGAAAGTTTATTAGAATGGGCCCGAGAACATCTTCCCATTGATTATTATTTGATCATAAAATCAACAAAAGTCTTAAGTCCATTACTTCCCTATCGACGAGCATTTGATCATCGAAAATATGTTGAACGTGTAGGACGAAAATGGCCACGAAATTTTCTTCTCTTAGGAGATGCGATGTGTGTATTCAATCCGAAAAATGGTCAAGGAATGACGCATGCATGTCGACAAGCAAGACAACTAAATCAAATCTTTGAACAAAAGTATTCTTTAGAGGATATCTCGTATATTTATAATCGTCAAGCCTCAGCCACCAGTGAAGAATGTTGGTTAGGTTCAACTACGAATGATTGGGCTGTACCAACATTAAAACTAATTCGAATGGATCAGAATGGAATCATTCAAACTTATTCATCGACGACATCTTCACCACCAAAAATTCCTTTATTTATGCAATTTCTACAATGGTATCCTTACTCGTTAATTCAATGTGCATCAAAATCAGGAGAATTATCAACCGCTTTTCTCCATGTTGTTTTTCAAGAAAAAAGTCCTTTTTCTTTGTTAAAACCGACATTTTTCTGCAAGATTCTTTTCTCTTCTATTGTTCATTATTTGAAATTAACTAAACAATTCTTCGATTAAACTATCTCATAATAGTAGTAACGTTTTTCTCCAAGCGGACGACACGAGCAAATCATCCGATATGGCGTGAGATTCACACGTTGGAAAAGAACAATGAATTTTCTTTTTTCTCAGTCTTTTCTGCACTCGATTAGCTACCTTGCAAGAAATGTAAGTAAAGTTAGCACCATATTCGAGTATTTCTTGTCCGGATTCGCCTGAGAACTTGTGTTAAGTCTAGAAGTGGTTGTGTTAGATTCAGAATTTAATTCTCTATCGAATCATGTCACTTCTGATAACGATCACCGGCCAGAAACTAGAGTTTTTCACAAAAAACCGTCTTTTTCACCCAGTTTTTGGGCTTAGAAATTTTGTAATTCTTGTCCGGATTCGCCCGAAAACCTGTGTTAACTCTAAAAAC